GACCATCACCTCATGTTGCAGCATGATAATGCACGGCCCCATGTTGCAAGGATCTGTAAACAATTCCTGGAAGCTGAAAACATCCCAGTTCTTGCATGGCCAGCATACTCACCGGACATGTCACCCATTGAGCATGTTTGGGATGCTCTGGATCGGCGTATACGACAGCGTGTTCCAGTTCCTGCCAATATCCAGCAACTTCGCACAGCCATTGAAGAGGAGTGGACCAACATTCCACAGGCCACAATCAACAACCTGATCAACCTCACTGCGTGAGGCAAATGGTGGTCACACCAGATACTGACTGGTTTTCGGACCCCCCAATACAGTAAAACTGCACATTTTAGAGTGGCCTTTTATTGTGGCCAGCCTAAGGCACACCTGTGCAATAATCATGCTGTCTAAACAGCATACTGATATGCCACACCTGTGAGGTGGATGGATTATCTCGGCAAAGGAGAAGTGCTCACTAACACAGATTTGTGAACAAAATTTGAGAGAAATAGGCCTTTTGTGTACATAGAAAAAGTCTTAGATCTTTGAGTTCAGCTCATGAAAAATGGGGGCAAAAACAAAAGTGTTGCTTTTTAATTTTGTTCAGTGTATGAATACTTTCCTAACTGTTTAGTAAAAAAACGTTGATGGATTCATTAAAAACAATACCTTCCGGTCCAGGCCCCATTAACTGGATGTACACATGTTTTTAATGCTTTTTTTAAACTCACTGCTTAAAGATGTTGTAAAGTTCTCAGTGCCTTCAGTTTTACTTACTATGTTGTTCAGTGTCATCAGTTTTGTGTGTATCTGTGTCGTCCAGTCTGTCTTTTGATTCTGTACCACATTCTGTAGAAGATATTGAAAGGTCAGTCTTACAGTTTAGCATCAAATATCTGTTCAACTCATGAAGAATACACCTCCCCTTACGCTAAGAAAATGTATTTCCTAATATATGAATGCTCAATATATTAAACAACATAATGGTATATTAGAAATTATACAGAATAATATATTGTGTAAATATATTACAATATATTGAATAATACTTAAGGAATTGCCTCTTTTCATATATTGAAATATATGTGACAATATATTTACTTATATATCACAATATTTGTCATTTTATATTCAGTAATACACTTTATAATATATAGATGTACATGTGATAAGATATGGTACTGCATGTGTGAAAATATATTGAACATAAGGTGTTTTTTTCCCCCGTCTCCACAACATTGTATGTACTATATTGTATTTGGAATATGTTCTGATCTTCAGTGCAAATTACAGCCTAATCGCAATGATGTACTGAAGGATTTTACAATGTGGTGAGAAATAAATATTTTCATGAATGTGCAGTACTCGTCTCATGTGTTGTGTTTGGTCAATATATTCATGAACTTTAACAATATCTCTCTCTCTCACACACACACACACACACACACACACAAAAGCTATCAAAAATAGAAATGTTATACGTGTTTAAGATTGAGTGTAAGTGGTTCAAACATAATTAGATTTTATGAACCATGTGTGTGCCATACGGTACCAAAAATTAAGCTTTATATATATATATATAAATAACTTTATTCAGTGATTTCACATTCCATTTACGAGAGTACCACAATGCAACCACAGTGTTTTGTTTTCTTTTTATTTATTAATTAATTCAATCTGCCAAATATTTTCCTTGTTTTCCACATAGGAATCTATGAGTAACTGTGATTTGTTTTCCCGAGCTAAATCACATCGCCAGTGAGTTTCGCAAATATCGTAAAATGCTATATGGTATATGAATACAACGTAAACACTTATATATTTTGATACATTTACTTTTTAGTATAGCCATCTGTGTCTTTTAAAATATGGATTCTGTCACTCTAGCAATGGTTGTCTGTTGTCCATGTCAGGTACGCATTTTAATTAGACGGTGGGGAAACGCCCACAATTGATTCTACTTGGTCAACACGAAGAAGCGTTTACATAACTTTTAGCATTAATAAATATGCATTATGTTACTAGAAGACACACAATACAGCAGTACTAATCAATGTAGCGATTGCTAGAGCATCTTGTTATTTTAGAAAATCTTCTTCGCTCTGTCACAGCTGCTCTGATGGTATGAAGCCGGTGCATTAAATCTCTTTGATCGCATTTAAGCTCTTTAACCTCCATCTGATGTGAACATGCCAAAATAAACTAACCTTTGTATTGTCCACACAAATATCACCACAGAGTCAGCATTTCACAACTCAAATAGAGTAAATAAAACCATTTATGGTTGTTAACTGAGAGCCAAATCTGTGGGGGAAAAAACACACAACACTGTGCAGCTACTTTGTATCTCACTGATGTGTGCAAAATAATGTCTGAGCACTTTATTATATAAAAGAGAATTTTTATCAAAAGACATTCTTGTAAATCCATTTCTGAGTATAAAGATTGTAGAATTATTTTTAGGGGCCCAAGTACAAAGTGCTAGAACCCTGTTGTATGTATTACTGTTGTTGTTCTTCCTTTCCTTCGTCCTTTTATTTGCTTTGTTGTGCATGAGAATGTGAAAAATAATTTTCTTTCAAAATCACTGAAAATGCATTTCAGGAAAACAACATAGCCTATGGCTTCCTCTGTTTTAGGCCTGTCAGCACTAAATGTGTAAAATCAGAATATCTTCATGATCATCTGCTTTCACCAAAACTCAGGTGCTAAACCTTGACCTAAACCTTGAACAGACCTTGATTAATTGGTTCAGGAATGTTTCATTAAAGGGATGTTTCACCCAAAAATGTAAATTATGTCATTAATTACTCACCCTCATGTTGTTCCAAAACTGCATGACCTTCGTTCATCTTCAGAACACAAATTAAGATATGTTTGATGAAATCCGAGAGCTCTCTGACCACCAGTTAAATTGCTTCACACAACTAAAATATGCAAATCTAAAGATAGGAAAACTGCAGCTTTTCTTTCTGTTAAAGGCAGTTTTACCTGAGAGTTTACTTTAACTTTAAAATAATATTGTCAGTCATATTAAAACAATAATGCATCCCTACAATTTATCACTAGTAACAGCACTGCCAAGAAAAAAACAAAAAAAGAAGTTGAGTTAAAAGCACTACCCCTGTAGTGAATCATGCCACAAAATAACCTTGGATTATGCTCCCATGGTTGAAAAACAAAGATAAAAAACAGCTGAGTGCAAAAAAGTATAGATAAAGAAAAAGCCTTTATTGTGAGGATCATGTTAGCAAAAATTTTACGATTATTATTCAAAACTGATCTGACCTGAAATACATTCAAACGACAGACAAGCCAAAAAGATTTGTCTGTTATTCTTTCTTGTATAAATGTAAATTACTGTATTTGCTAATTGCAGTATTGCTCTCTTTCTCAATGAGTATTTATGCTAATATACATGAATACACACACATTGAAAGGAGTTTGACACCATATTGAGACATATTTAATATCCAATAATTTTAATATTCATTTGCATTGTCAGCCTGCACATGTCAGCATACTGAGTGCTAAATGTGAACAGGTTTAACATTTAGTAGGTTTTTTAAAGATATTTTGTAATACTGATGATGAGATAAAGCAAAAATACATTTATTAGGATAGGACAGTTGTATAAAGCTTTTTTTTTTTTTTTGGTGTATATGTATTGCGTTTTCATTTCCAAAGCTGCTCCAACATTGCATTCTTTATCCAAGCCTCGTCTGGTTTCACACAAAATTGGGTTCTAGGTGTCATAACCCTGAGGGGAAAAGTTCATATTCAAAATGTTTGTTTAAAGTGCTGGCATGCACAAAATCATTTTATCGTTAATTTATAATTCATAAAAGGAGCACATTTCTATATTTCAGAGTTTAAATACTTACACAATGGCAGGAATAGGGCAACGTGAATCTGTCTCCACAGCACTGACAATTTTTTTGGCTGGAATTTGAAAGTCAATAAAATCAAAGCAACACCACACAGGAGCTGCAGGAGCAACAGCTGTTGGTGAGATAAAAAATAGTTTTAGGAGAAAATTAGTATAAAACCAACATTACCCAAACCTGTGCAAATGCAACAAATGAAACTAAACATGCCATAAATTGTCTGAAAACAATATATTTTGTCTGGATTCGAAAGGAAAGCCCTTACGATATGAAGTCCCCTGCTTAGAGCAGAAGATCACCAGGAACAGCACACACATCAGGCTTCTCATTCTTCAAGATGTTTCTTCACAATGACAGAAAGAATCTGTAGAAGTTCTGTGGAGCTTGAAGCTCTCAGAGCTGATGTGTCCAGAATAACGTCTGAGCAGCTTCACATATTCCACATAAAGACATTCATGTAAATCTATTTCTGAGTATCAACATTGCATGAGAGTAGTTTTTAGCTCCTCCTTTTCCCTGCTTTGTCACTCATGTGAAAATGTTCCAAGTACTTTTCTTTTCTTCTCTGAAAACATGTTTTCTGGCCTGTCAAGCTCGGCATTAAATCAACAAAATCAGAAGATTTTATGATAAAATTTGAATTGTGCTGTCACCAGATATCAGGTGCTTAACCTTGTCCCCTTTACTCACATATAAACCCAAAGACCTTGATTAACTGGTTCAGGTGTGTTTAATTAAAGCACTGACCTTAAGTTGGACCACCAGAAACAGGACTGAGAGCCCCTGCTCTAAGAAAACAAAACCAATTCTTGTTTCTAGTGACACTTCTTGGTCTAATAGAGAAGTTTGAATAATTCAGCCACCAGTTAAACTGCCTTACAGAATTAAAATATGCAAATGTAATGACAGCAAATGGCAGCCTTTAAAGACTAAAATGGCGTGATCTAACATTTCATTCACTGTGAAATGTTATTTTGAGTCAGATGAAAACAGTAATTTGACTTTTTAAAATGGCATGCAAATATTTTAGTCCTGTGGCCTCCAGGGTTAGAGTATGTTAGAGAGAGTGTAGATTTACTGGGTGCTGATCTTTTGGCATTTTTCAGACCTGGGACAATTTTGCACGCTTACTTTCTGTTGTGTGCACATGTTCTCTATAGTGACCAAGACTTCACATGTGAGTATTGCAGGCCTTGTAGCTCAGAATACATATGCATTTTTTATTCATTTATTTATTAGATATTTCAGTTTTTTTTTTTTTTTTGCATTGCCCATTATCAAAATATCTACCTTTAACATTGACTTCTGACATTTAAGTGAAAAGTTGAAAAGTTTCTAAATGTATGCAGTAGAGGATAACAATTTTATTACATGAAGATAATTGTATTATTTATTTTACTGAATTACTGAAGCCAAACACATAAATCATTTTAGAAAAAATGTGGTATACACACGTCAGAAACATAGTCGAACATTTGACTCTTGCACTTTAATAGACTGTTTATTACAGTGTTTTTAAAAGTGCTTAGACACTAAAAGTTGTATTGAGGCCCACTCAGTGAAACCATTCACTCATAAACATAAGCTTTAGTCCAAGTCTGCAAAACTACAACCACATTACATGCTTTAAACTCAGTTTGATATTGTAAAACAATCTTTTAGAAAAAACTCTAAACACAGTTCTCTTCATTACACATTCAAAACAAACAGCTCTCTTGTTTCATTTGGGAAACACTGCCATTTAAATGCCACACTCATTTGCTGATGACCTACAGCCAGTGATCATGTGTGAAAACACTTAGACATCATTTGTTCATATAGAAATCAAAACTCAGTGTTTTGAGAAAGATCCCCTTGCATTTCTGTTTACAGTGTATTTATATTGTATAAAGAACATTTAGAAATAAAGTTGACTGTCTGACTTGGCTTATATGCATATTCAATACACACACACTCTCACACACACACACACACACACACACACACTCACACTCACACTCACACTCACACTCACACTCACACACACACACACTCTCTCACACACACACACTCACACACACACGCACACGCACACACACACGCACACGCACACACACACACACACACACACACACTCACACACACTCACACGCACACGCACACACACACTCGCTCACACGCGCGCACACACACACACACACACACACTCACACTCACACTCACACACACACACACACA